TCGTTTGCAATTTGCTGGCAAACCCCATTTTTGGCGCCAGGGCCAATTAACGGATTATGTGGTATTGCTTCCTTCAGCAACTACCGTTAGTAAAGGCAGTGATAAAAATGGACTAAGGAAAACAATTTGCAACTAAATATGCACACGTGAGCATGTGGCCAAATTACTTTAAATTACATACATCTTAGAATCAAAGTTACTACGGTTCTATATTACTATGTTTATTTTAAAGTATCACATTAATCATATTTTTTTAAAGATATATGAATATAGGATAAAGCTAGCACTGTACCTTCAACAATAAATTGTATAACCATGCCTTGCCGCATTTTTGCACACTACAAATGTATGTCTGTACTTATGTACAGTAGTGAGAATACATATATACAAACGTTTGCTTACATATACATACATACATATTTATATATCTAAACACATATTGAGGTTATACGAAAAATTGCGCCCAAACTAAGCTTATGTTATTTTTGTAAACAGTGCGCTCCTTTGGAACGGAGGACCGTGACACCCAGTTTCAAATAGCACCGCAGTCGCAGATCTACGATTATATCCTATTTCGCGGCTCAGACATCAAAGACATTCGCGTTGTGAACAACCATACGCTGCCGCACCATAATGATCCGGCCATAATGCAGGCACAATTGCAGAACGGTCCCCAGGTAATGCCACAGCATTTCCCAATGAATGCGCCACAACAACAACAGCAGCAGCAGCAACCACAGCACAGTGGTCCATCGATGGCTGGAGGCAGTGGAGGTGCACCCGGAGCACCAGGCGGCGGTGGCTTTGGAAATGGTAATCCATTTGGCGCCTTGGGAGCACCCAGTCTTGGCCCGGGCTCTTTAGCTCCTGGTGCCGGAGCACCTGGCAGTGGAGGGCCATTTATGAACATAGGTGGTAATCAGCAACAGCAGCAGCAACAAAAGCCTCAGCAGCAGCCAAAACAAAGTAAGGTTCAGCAATCATTTGTTGCAAGCAAAACACGAAAAGCTATTAAATAATTTCAAACAGACAAATTTGCCACTTGGGCATTACATGTTACTTGAAGTTATTTCTTTGCGCCACACTTACACCTACACACACATAAACACACCGTTAATATATAAACATATATGCACGTTCCCGTCTATATGTAAAGTTTCCGTTTTAGATATGCTTGCGAGCGCTTCGCGTTCGACAACGCCTATTAGCCTCATTATCAGTCCAACGGCCGACCTGACCCAGCAGCACTCCCAGCAACAGCAGCAGCAGTTACATCAGCAGCAGAATTCTGTGCAAGCTCTCGGCGGTGGCAATGCGCGCGATGCCGGTCATAAGCGCCAAAACCATCAGCAGCAGCAGCAACAACAGCAGCAGCAGCAGAGAGGGGGACCCAATATGCAGCAACAGCAGAGGAATAACCACAATCACAATAACGACTATTACAATCATCCCCACCCCCAGCAGCAGCAGCAGCGCGATCGCCGTGATTCTGGCCGTCAAATGGATAACAATTACAACAATTATAATAATCAACGTAATCGTGGTGGCGTCGGTGGTGCCATCCAACAACGTGGCAGTGGAGGAAATGGCGCATGGAACATGCATCGTGGTGGTCCACAGAATTCGAACAATATGATGATGCGCGGCAATCGCGGCATGGGTGCTCGTGGCCCAATGCGCCCCAATCAGGTAAATGCATATTTCAACCGTTCCACGTTCCGTTCAGTACATGCAATGCAAAGAGAATGTATGAGAGAATATATTATATTGTAATTTCTATATTTGACAACCTTCTGGTTGTTTTCAGCTCCAGCGTATTAATTTTTGAGAGCGGCAAATAAAAATCTTATTAACTCATATATTTTGCACAAGTTAAAACTTAAGCAACCGCTGAATCAGTTAAAAAATTAAAATTTCTAATTAGGTTAATAGTTATAAATATATATAGATGTACATAATTCTGTCCTTTCTTGGATCTGAAAACAGAAAATATTTGTATAATAATGTTGGATGTTCAAATACTGTCGACTTGGCCATAGTCTAACTCTTTTAGTTATGCGACCAATTCGATTTGATTCATTTAGAACATTTATAATGCAGCATAGTTCAGCAGTTGTCATTAATATTAATGTTTAAATCTTTTATTATTTTTACTTTTAGCAGGGTTATCGTCCACAATCGGCTAATCAGAATAAACCTCGCAACAAGATCAAATTTGAGGGCGACTTTGATTTCGAACAGGCTAACAATAAGTTTGAAGAGCTGCGTTCACAGCTGGCGAAACTCAAGGTGGGCGACGAACCCAACAAAACCACAGCTACAACAACAGCCACAACAACAGCCACAACAACAACAACTTCTACCACAACTGATCAGGTATACGTTTATTTTGTTTTGTTTATTATTTTCTGTTCATTTAAGTTTTAGTTTAATAATTCAACCGTTAAAAAAAACATGTCAAACATTTAAAACAATGCACACAACACACGAAATGTATTTGTTGGACCCGGACATAATTATACCCACTCTTTAATTTTGCACAGTTGAATGGGGAGACCGACAAGAAGGATGACTCTGGCAATGAGACCGGCGCTGGCGAGCATGAGCCTGAGGATGAGGACGTTCATGTGGGCTATGATAAGACCAAATCCTTCTTTGACAATATTTCGTGCGAGGCGGCTCAAGATCGCAGCAAGAACAAGAAGAATGACTGGCGTCAGGAGCGCAAATTGAATACCGAGACATTCGGAGTCTCGTCCACCCGACGTGGCAGGTAAGTTGCCGGATTGCCCCTCGACTATCGCCTAACAGGTTTAATGTGTCAGTTTTAATAGCTACCGGGGGCGCAACCATTACTACAACAATGGCAACACGATGGGCGGAGGTGCCGGCAATGGTGGAATGAATTCTGGCTACGGCGGTGCACCTGGCTATAATCGCAACAATTATCGCATGGGCGGCGGCGGCAATTTTCGCAACCGCAGCAACAATCGTAACAATAATGGCGGAAACCGCCAGAACAACATAACCAATGGAAATGGCAGCGCAGCCGCAGCTCTGAAAGCTGCCAACAATACAGGAGGTGCCGGTACGGGCAACAACACAGACACCACGGCACCCAATGCCGCAACAACGAAGACGGCCACGTCTACAATTACAGAGCAGACGCAACAGGTGGCGGCAGTTTGTAAGTACCCAATCACATATATGTTCAATCAACTACTTGACCTTAATCCTCATCATTAATATTGCAGCTCAATAATGTCGCATGCGTGGAGTTCCCTTGCCTAACTTTACAAAATCTAAAAACAGTCCTACTCATTGCAAAGCTAGTTTACCCGAATGCAACCTAATCAAGCGACCGACCGATCGACGACAAACAAGGCTCTTATCATCATGAAGAATCGATTATGGAACTAATAATGGCATAAACAGAATAATTGTAAAATTTTACTTAGTGTTGTAACGCTCATGACGTCCTGCGCGCACTTTGCCCGCCCACCGTGTTGCTTTGCTATTCATAAGATCAATCAGAAGCGTTCAGCAGCCATAAGATAGGTTTTTGTGTAAATGGCACGCTGAACGTCAATAGTGATGCAGCACATGATTATAGTGAGAACATACACACCTCTACATATATTTAGTAATAAATGTGAAGAAAACATTAAGCATAAGTCTATGAAAAGTTAAAGAAAAACTCTAGGAGTCGCAAATTATGAAATTAAAGAAAGAAACAATTAAATCCATGGAATTCCCAACATTAATAAAAGCAAACGCAACTCGCATGTTTATATTTTAAAACAAGAAAAAAGGCCTACAACTATACTTAATGTGGGACATACAACATAACATAAATAAATTAATTCAAAGCGTTACTAGCATTTAAACTTTTTTAAGAACAAATTTTAATGATGGAGAAAATGGAAATACATGCATATATATTTAAATGAGCAGCAACACGTACATATATTGAACACAAAAACAAACAAAATACAAAAATTGTAAAAAATAAATCACCTATCAGAAGTAGTGTGGGCATCAAATAAATTTACTTAATACTGATTGTTTACATAAAAAGCAAAACCCAGAACAATTAAAGCGTGTCTTTCAGAAATTAGTTAAATTTTCGATCATTTGCAGTGTCTAACCAAAAACTGTCAAATATAGTGTGTAGTATGTGTTTCCTGTGGGGAGCTTAAATATATATTATTAATTATGTTACTTAAACATGTGAACACCAATTATGTATTTAGCTACAGCCTTCAATAATCGCAGCAAGAGAAAATATTCTGTTATCCAGGAATGCACAATATCTCATTATACCACAATTAATAGTTGTTAGCCACGCATTGTGGATATTCGCGTAAGATTCCGATTTATATGATCTTATTTTAAAACCATTTAACATTATACTTTAAACTTGTGTCAAGTAGCTGGAATTGAATGGAGATATTACGAGAATACTCCACGGATTGTACATCAAAAATGTTTTTGTAAATGTTTCATATAAATAAGCCATATAATTCATATTAAATTCAGAGCAAAATAACTTACCTACGTTAAACTTTCCCTTAAAGATCAATATGGGGTTTTTTTTTTATATGTTGATCAATGCTAAGACGGACACGTTAATTCTATGTTGAGCACAAATCATGTATGAATCTAGGTATATGTTTATATATGTGTAAAGAAAGAGTAATATTTTTCTATAGATAAACTGTATGCAAGGATTTCGCAGAATGTGTTCAATTGCGTAAATGGATATAATACTCGTATGATTGTTGGTGCTTTTGATAACATATGTAGTTATAATTGGATAGAGAATAATTTTCTATGACAACTAGCATAGGAATATTCATAAAGCAAACGAGCTTGAACTGATTTGATATCATATCACCTAAGCCTTAAGCACCATAATGAAGTTAGTGGTATAGTTTTCTATTTAATTTTTAGAAAAATATTTCCCTCTGCAAACAATTTTTAAGTTTACTTGTAATAGTTTTCCAATATTTATTTTAGTAAATCCATTGAGCTTTCCGTTTTACAGTTTTATGTGAATTTAACCAACATAATAGTAACATATTTTCAAAAGTCTATTTTGCAGTTTGTAGTTTATCGCAATCGTTTTGATAGAGTGTATATCATTTGTTGAAACAAACTTGCGTCTGCTTGCGATACAAAAACCGTTCCGGTCTAGAACATAATTTTCGAAATTATACATATGAACATAAACATTAAATATAATTTATATGTTGAAGCAGTAAATTTTTCAGATTAACTATTCTAAGAATAAATAATAATTAAAAGTTTCACATTAGGTACTTCTGTCGGAAGATGTTTTGTAACTTGATGTTGATAACTATGTAAAATGAAAACAACAGTGCACATCGATCAGTTTCGCAGAGACAGAAATACCTAGATGGTTATATTCATATATATATATATAAGATGTAACTAATTTACTCAGTTCAAGCAATATAAATAGGGTCGTCGAATCATTTGTCCCATAAGCCCAGCTCTCGCATTTTGGTTTGGAAATAACGTTCGAGCGAATTAGCGCAGCGATAATACTCAGTGTCGGGAGAATTGTAGAAGCGACAATTTGAGAAAATACGTGCCATATCTGCCATAAACAAGCGACGTGTTTGATAATAACCTTTTTTTAGACGTTCGCCCATTGTCTTCAAGTCCATGGGGTACTTGATGTGATCGTAATAGTCGGGAACCTCGGCTGCAGTGACTGGTCGTAGGAACGGCCATGCTGTGGCATGTTGGCGCACAGATTGTAATACAGATTGGAAAGAATTGGCCAGTTTTTCCGGATCAGTAGATTCTTCCAAGGGGCGGGAGGCACGCACTGGACGCATTTGTGGCTTCCAACCGATTTCTCTTAGACCCGGAATAGATTCAACTGGAATAGATGGCAATCCCTCTTTGAAGCATGTTAAGCCAGGCCTAACTTTTTGGACCTCATTGTGTCGCTGAGCAATTAGCTCCTTAAGGATCTCGCTTTGATTCCGAATAACTGAAAACCAGCACAAAATAAATCTGTTAATTGGTAATCCCATAAAAATTCTGTCAAGCCAACTGACCAGCAATAAATTGAGTATTCACAATACTTGGATGCAGCTCACAGTGCATAAGCGTAGCGCTGTCATATTCCTTGATATATCCCGCATAGACGGGTCGTGCCAATTTGATGTCCTTGGAAAAACCTTGTTTTTTAAAATACCCTATGGCATCACAATCGGCAAACGTAAGTAGATGCTTAATGCCACGCTGTATGCTGTAATCCTTTAAGTGATTCATCAGATGTGTGCCATATCCCTTCACTTGCTCCGCCATTGTAACCGCACAGAATACAATTTCAGTGAAGCCCTGGGTGGGAAATGGTCTGAAACATATTCCTCCAATTGGCTGGTTCTCCTTGATAAGTGCCAAGGTCTTGTGCTTGGTGTCAAAGACCAGCTGGCTTATGTATTCACGTGGCATCTCGGGCAGCTGATGCGCAAACACAAGCTGCAGTCCCAGGAGCCAAAGGATTGTCTGTTTGTCCACGGGCTTTGTTAGCGAGTTGCCCACAACATGAAACTCGATGGCGCGCTTCTGCTCTTCGGCCTTGACATTTTCATCGCGCGAAACATTGACGGGAAACAAGATTTCAGCTTTGTTTGTGGTTTTCGACTCCGAAACGGATTTCATGGCTCGCAAAACTACATCGGTTGGAAGGTCATCCAAATTCTCGCTGCACAAAATTAGAAATAAAATATTAGTAATATAGAGATACGATCAAATCGAAAATAAAGGATTTCATACGAAATGTTTTTCCTATTTTATTTTGACCCTTACCTGGGAGCCCGTTCGACAGGCTCTTTTTTGGCCCTCTTATGGACTGGTTCTCCAACGCTGGAGCGTTTACTACTGCTCGGAGCAGATGCGGCAGCAGCAGCCGAAATGGTTGCTGGGGGTGCCACTTCCTGATGACGCTTCCTTTGTTGCATGACGAATGAATTTGGTGGCCTGTAGCTGGAATCCCATATGGGCGAATCATCTTTCAGCAGTTCGGCTCTCAATGCTTCCAAGAACTTTGGCATTTGCGTGATGATCGATCTTTTGTCTTCGGGGAAGCGATCACGCTCGGAAATACACTTCTTTTTCAGCTGCTGCGACATATATTGAAAAACAGTTCGCAGAAGAGTTCGTCCAAATACCAAAGATGTTTCGAACTGCCGCAGGGAGTTACAAAAGGCGGGCACATGGCAAAATACAAGCCAGCGCGTATAATTGATCTTATAGGTTGATGCGTCCTCGTGAGTCAAAGTGGCATCGCTACGGCGTACCGAAGGCGACTCAAAGTTGTAATGGTTAAGGAAGTTTAGGAATGTCTTGGCCACCTCCGTCATGGTCTGCAGCTCAGTCGGGTTCAAGTGGTTGTACTTGTAGAAAACCAGGGACAATACAGCCTTTGTAATGCACGGCGACTCGAATGGAGGATCTCCCAAGGGACCGCGAATAACAGCCTGCTGACGTGTTAGGACGCATTGACGGAGCAGCCTGAACAAATACAAATACACTTTTTTAGTGTCCTCGTCCTCTACGCGCTGCATTGACATAAACAGGTTTTCCATATCAATGATTGCGCCCAAGAGGTCGTCCATGCTTGTCCTTGAAATCTCAGTCAGATGAGAGATGTGAGACCGCAGTGGATGGCGGCAACTAGCGTTGCGACACTCTTCGCTCAGCTCTGGACAGTAGGAAGATTCGACATCTCGATGCCTGTTCTCCTGTGGCGTCTTCCATCCAGTGCAACGGCAGCCCTCGGCTTGGCACGCAGAATACATTGATAATTTGGCCAGCTTCTGTGCCTCTGGCAGATTGAATACCTTCTGCTTTCGCTGCTGTATACGCTGCAAGCTGTTTTGCCGTGTGCCCTCCTGGGCTGGTGGCACATTTCCAGCCGAGCCCTGTGAAGACGAGGACGACGCTGCCGCTGCATTATTCCCAGATTGCTGTTGTTGGCCAGCAGCATTTCCACTATTGCTATTGCTTCCATCAATTGGTTGGCTTTTCAGCGTTATTGCCGGACCGCCAGACATGGCTTTAAGTTTTCTGGGTTTCCAAAAAATTAATATTTACTACAATTTCACAATATGCGAAAATGCTGACGAGGGATGGTGAACTAATACTGCGTTTCAAGGGATGGCGAATATCACTGAATCATGGCTAAAATGTATATACATCTGTTGACATGGGTTTCGAATTGGTTAAATATAATAAAATAATTAAATTGAATTGAATCCCGTGTTCCATTTAACTACACACACACACTTGCTTTCGCATATAACAGCTTGGAATCAATCTACGTATTATTAAATGAACCGGAACTAGTGTGAATGGCATATGCATATATCGATTGTATAGAGAACATATAGTCGATAACTGGGCAAACGAATGTCAGTGGAAGCATAAATTTAAAAAAAATATAAAAGACTTAAGAAAAGACTCGTACAATAAAAATGTGTTTGATTTCGATATGACAAGCCCGACATCCGACGATATTGAGGATCAGCTTGATAATTTTATCATACGAAAACCAAGAGAGCAAGTAAACACTTATGCGGCTGCACGAAAGGAAACAAAGTATGGCCAGCAGATTCACGAGCATATACCATTGCTTGTAAATGATATATTAGGATCGTCCCCAGACCCAGACGATAATGGAGTGTTCACGGTTCTCAATCCGACCACACTGAAGTATCGTACCTGCCTGGTTTACGGGTTTGTCGCAGGTCGGGGCGTCCATAACAGATCGTTTTACAAGTACATAATCGACGATGGAACTGGCACAATGGAGTTCAGTATTTATGTTAAGCCAAGGGAGTCCGAAATAATTAAACGTCTTAACAACGAAGCCAATTCCCTGGTAGCTATCGCGGGACCTCAATACAAAAGGATATCGGCTAGCATGGTGCGACTTTTAGGCAAAGCGTTCGAATACATTGATGGTTCTGTAATATTACCCGGACATAATGTCTTACTATATGGGCGTCCAAACAGGTTTAGGGACAAAAATGTCTTAGATGTTATCTCATTTACTATGGACAACGAGAAGTCCCGAAAGCTGGAGATAGCATTCAATGATAATTTGATAGATTACTACCAGTCCCATTAGGGTACATAATATTCATAATTGCAAATTTTTATATTTATATGTTGAAATTTTACTCAATAAAAAATCAAATTGAAAATATACACATAATTTATGTGGTTTTTGCTCGAATGGCAGCACGCTTGCCTGTGACAGCTTGGAAACCAGACTTAATGCTAGCAACTGAGCAACGAGAACCGCAGGATTCGCACTGAAGAAAGAATAAACGCGTATCTTTTTGCAATATTGTCTCCGGCGAGCGGCAGGTGTGGCAGGTGACGTATTCCTTAATATAGCGACGCAGCACGTTTTCAATCTGTTTGGGCTGGAAGCGACCCTTGATAATTAATTGCTGATTGCCATCCATGGATCCGCTTGTGCCCAACTCGGCCAGCAAAAAGTCTAGCAGATGTTTTGGTAAGCGATGCAGAGTTTTCGCAATGTCCATGAAATTGGCAAACGACGTTTTCTTAGTGCCCACACGCAGAACCTGAGGTGGTCTCATAACGAACTTCGGTTTGCGGCCTGCAGCCATGTCCGGGTTCTTGTCCATAATAATTTCGAAGACGCGTTTCAGTAACTCGTCGTAGGTATAATCGCGGTCAGAACCAGCCCAGGTGCTGCTGTTATCCTCAACTGCAAAGTCAGCAAAGCAAATTTATACAAATGCACACTTTTCATTTATGAAATGACAAACTTACAGTTCTCTTTGTCTTCGCTTTTATCATCCTCCCCTTTGTCAGCAAACAACTCATCCAAGTCTTTCTTTTTGCTCTTCTTCTTCTTTTTGGCCATTGTAAAGTCCATGTCCAAATTGATCTCTTCCTCCTCAGGGTCTTCAGCTGTTGCAGCGGCAGTGACGTCGTCCGCTCCATCGGGCAACGCCCCCTCCAGTTCATCTAAATTAAAAGGCTTCTTCTTTTTCTTCTTCTTTTTACCGAAGCTCTCTAAGTCAAGATTATCGTCCATTTCAGCTGCTGTTGCATCAATGATTGCTTCATCTTTAGGATCCTCTTTTTTTCCTGCATCGTCCAGTCCCAATGCGGCATCCAGGTCAAAAGTGGTCTTCTTCTTCTTCTTCTTTTTTAATAAAGTGGGATCGAAACCCTAAAATATGTTTCCCAAGTGTTCAAATGAACGAGTAAGCAAATTTGTACACACAAATTGTTAAGGAGAGTTGGTGAAATGTATGCAAATGTAAATTGAGCTCCATATGCGCCACATAACCTCACACACACGAAACACAATGTACGATCTCCTCATACACATCATTATCATTATGACCAACACTCGCATTTCACTATTTTCTGTCAAACTTACGTCTTCACCTTCCATTTTGGATTATTTTTGCCCAAAGAATGAGAGAACAATTTAAAATTTACGCGTTTTTATGGAGCAAATTGCATCAGAAAATTTATACTTTTGTGACAGCAGGGCAGTTTGACGGCTTTGCTGAGGGGATGTTGATGTATTATCGATATATAACCATTAAAAATCGATAGGAGCACACGGTGCGACTCTCAAATAATTCGTTGCTAGTATTTTTTTATTAATAGGTCACACTCATTTGTGAGTAAGCTTTTTTCAAAAGCAAATAATAAAAAACTTGAGCATAGACCAGTTTGAACTACCGCTGCGCACCTATGCAAGCAGACATATAAAAACCTACATGTATGCTTACATCCATACGAACATGACAATTCAATAAATTTGGGAGCAGCTTAGTGAGGAAACATACATACATACATACATACATACATACATACATACATACATACATACATACATACATACATACAAACATATATACATACCTACATCTAAATATACATACATACATACGTACAAACATCCATACGTACATACATATATACCTACATACGTACATACATACATACATACATACATACATACATACATACATACATACATACATACATACATACATACATACATACATACATACATACCTACATACATTCATCTACATACATACATACATCTACATACATACATCTACATACATACATCTACATACATACATATACATACATACATATACATACATACATCTACATACATACATCTACATACATTCATCTACATACATACATCTACATACATACATCTTCATACATACATCTACATACATACATCTACATACATACATCTACATACATACATCTACATACATACATCTACATACATACATCTACATACATACATCTACATACATACATCTACATACATACATCTACATACATACATCTACATACATATCTACTTACCCGCTCCAGCTCCCTCTGCTCCACCGCCTCCAGTTACTCCTCCACCGGCCGTTGCCTTGTTAAATTTCAGCAGGGCCTACTTAAATTTTTGAGAATCGAGGAGGAGAGCACTTAAAAATACGTTTAATTTAAAGTCGCAGCGCAGTGGTATGAAACTTAGACTGTGTTAAGTTCAAGAAAAAATGCATTTATACGTACGTACACACACATACATACACAAACAAACATACATACATACTCACATACATACATTCATACATACACATACATACATACATGCATACATACTCCACAATTAGGCATATTTTCACGCTATTGCCCAGCTCAACACATTTTTACCTATTTTTAAATAATAATTGATATATTGACGAAATCCAGCATTAAAAAATGCATTAATTTGAAATGCAAATCTGTGACTAATATTCTTGGTCAAAATTCATGTAAAATGGTAAATTCAAATATTGCAAGCATTTTATTGTATTATTCGTGTACTTTTCATCTGGTAATTTTAACGCCTGCACTTGGCTAAGCAATCAGCATTTGAGCAGTAACGATTCCCGTTGCCACCGCAGCCAAGATAGTTCATCTTGACACAGCTACGCCGGCGCGCATCGTAGTACCACATTTCTCTCATGGCGAAATTGCGACAGGCGCTATTACGGTTGTGGCCAATATCTCTGCCGCCTGTGCAGACCTGGTTAACTGTAAGTCGGAAAGTCAGAGGTTATATTGAGGATATATCAACTTGTGTCAAATGCTTACCTGGACGGCCAACGCAAAAGCGCTGGGCCTGGATGTGGGCCACGTAAAGTGCCAGACAAGCCAATAACAAGAAGAACTTCATTTCAGTGGGATTCGCAAACTCCTGTTGAACTGATTTAGTCACTAGTAAAGTTCGCTTTTATATAGCATACGCACAAAGCAATTTGTTTTAAATGCCGCAGCTGTTTAAAAAAACGTGCGTATTAAAGAAATGCAACGAGCTATTCTTGTAACAGGTATTCAAAAATATTACATTTTTTGTTACCATTCATTGTTAATTGACCCTATTTATAAATATACAGATATGCATTCATACACAAAGGTGATTCAAACTTGGCATGCAGTTCTCAATAAAGCAGTTTTTCTTAAGCTAATAAATATGTTGAGTGAATCCTTTTATATGTGTCTATGAATATTTTTATATTTTCCTAATAATAAGTATTATTCAAGGCAGTTAGTGGGCTCATCTTGGCGAGAAAGTCCATCCAAAGTCCACTAGTCCATTACTAAAATGGTAATACGCATATTTTCAACATTTTTGTTATACATGTGTGTATGTATATTTCACACGAAAAAATAATACAAAAAACATTTACGATTAAGACATAAACAAATTTAAATTAATATGCTCTGTAGACAGGATACACAAACCGCGGTCTTATAAATATGAGTTAACCACGGTTCAATATTGTCGCGGCAGTCACCATAATGTGATAACAGTCTGCGGTTACGTTTATTCTGGCAAGAATTAAAAATCTCTCGAATTGTCTATAAAAAACGGAATCTAATAGTTTAGTAAGCCCGACCATTTTTACAGGCTGACAATTTGGACAGTTTTTTAAATTATATTAAAAAAATCTAATAAAGAGCTCTAACACAACAAATGAATCATTTATGCGTATATTACTATATTATAAATGCATTTGTAAGTGATTGCTAGTGTTTACTTTAAGGCTGTGTGTAAGTTTATTGCATTTGTAAAGTCTACCAATTAAGCACGCTGGTTAAATGCGAAACTGTGAGAGATTATGCGCAAGCACATATCTAGCTTCACAAGCCTTTCCTATTAACATTGACTACAAGTGAGCATTGCCCGGGTTAACTAATTCCGGTCCAAGTCCGCCGGCAAGTTTTTGAACTAATCGTCCCACCTCGTACGCCAACTGCTGAGTATTCTATAATTGAGAGACAATCCAATTAAAATGATTCTATAAAATTGAGTGTAAACTATACTGACCTCTTTCGTTGAAGCCTCGGCGTATACACGTACTACATCCTCTGTGCCGGACGGACGCACAAAAGCACGTCCGCGCTTATAATTTGAGACGACTTTGTTGATTTCATCCTGTAGTCCCTCCGGCTTGATACACACACGTTCCGCATCCGCGGTTTCGATGACGTTTCTATCCTGAACCTGTATCTTGAGCTGTTGATTTGGCAGGTCAGTGTAGCTTGAGATCCAGTCCTTAACGTCCCAGCCCTTGTGGTTTAGGATCGTCTCTACCAATAGCATATCGGAGATTGCATCACCGACAGTTTCATTAATGAGATCTATTACGAGCAGTAAAGTCTCCGCACTTGGCTTGGTCTTGGCCGCTTCGCCAATAGTTTGCTTAGCATTATCACTGAACACAATGGTGCCGTGGCCATTGGCCTCAAAATAAATGCCAATATCATATTCCAAGGCTTTGTGGTGCAAATGCTTTACGCCCGTTGGAACACAAGAAACGGGCACCTTCAATTCGTTGACAATGTAATCTGTGGACGCCCCATTGGCATAGGCAGTCTGCACCAGGCCCAATCGCAGATCCAGCTCGCAGCTTTTGATTAAGTCCATTAAGTAGCCAGCTACTAGAGTGGCAATCCGGTCCCCGTCCAGGAGCTTGAACGTCCCCGTTTCATCACTGAAGAAGTAGACCACGCGATCAGCATCGCCATCGACACTCACGCAACGTGTATAGGGTTCCACTATGGGCATGGATACCGGGGGTCGTTGTTGCACCTTGACGTGATCAGCTCCACACTGCTCGTTAATTTTGCCGTTGCCTATGCCCTGGTTGATGACTGTCACGTCTAGCGACTTATTCATGCGTTTGATAAACTGCAGCATTTTTCTGGCACCAACGCCGTTTGCGCCATCGAAGATCAGATGGTTTCGATAGTTGCCATTTTCTAGCTGACCATTGCGCAGTTTCTCAAAGGCGGAAATGAGTTTCTCGTAATAGCTCTCCTCAGTGGGCTTGCCATACACCTCCTTTGTGTTGGCTGCCACCACGAAGAAGTGCATCATGGGCGTTGTGACTATTCCAAATTCTCGTACATTTCCCTTCAGCGCAATAACACCATCCGCGACAGCTTTCAGCAGGCGGGGGCTATGATAGCGATTGTCCATGCCAACGTAGACATAGGAGCTTGAGGTAACATCGATTTGATTATCCTTAATTATTTTTGCGACATGCTGCTCCAGATCCTGATCGCTAACGTTCACCAAATCTGTGGCTATCGTCTCCCAGCTGGCCTCCAACATTTCACCCTTTGGGTCGATCAGTTTAACGCCATTGTCGGGCTCCGGATTATGTGAGGCTGTGATCATAACACCGATGACAGCACCCTCCCGAAAGCGGGAACGTAGCGTTGCGAGAACGCCCATGCGGAACATTACGCTGTCCAAGAACTCGGCTCTGTTCAAGAAAAACAACAGTTTTTATAAAGTTTACATTCAAATTGATCTTAAGCAGATCCGATTGCTGTAGTAATATAGTATATTAATAAGAGAAAGTGCACCACATGAGTAGTTCAATGAGTAAATAAAGATAAATACAGACTTTGATTTATTTGTATTATGGATGGACATGCGATTATTTGAATTCTGATTCCATCGGATGTCTTGATTATCATTTCAAATTCGCGCATACGTGCAAGACTCTAGCATGCACGTATGCATATACATACATATGTACGTAAATATATATGTGTGCACATATGTATGTATGTTTAAATAAAAAAGCCGCCGCCAAGAACGATCTTTCGTGATTGCAGGTAAAGTTAAACGGCTGCCTAATATAAAAATGTTTCGCTATTCTACAATCGAGTTTAATTATACAAAACTAAATATCTCATGTATATGCAGTACTTAGGTACCTTTAAAGGTGCATGTCCATTGATAAAGAAAGAAATTCTATAAATAAATTGGAATGCCAGAATAGTGCACTCGCCTTACTCATCTTCACCACTCCCTAAAACAGACACATACATATGAATATACGCATGTGTGTGTGTTGATTTAGATGGGTGTGGGTGGGCATACATACATAAATATTTGTATATATGAAGTAATTTATGTATGTAGATAAGCTTAAGTATATTCCCACTTGTAAACTCACTTGCCGCGAAACCCAGCTGTTCCGTACTGTATGGGTTCCTTTGAAATTTTTGGGTACATTTCTCTCGCAAATGCGTAAACGGTGCGCAAATTAATAGACATGTTGTAATTGAATTGCTGGCTCGATTTATGAGGCACTCAAGATCCTTGTTGAAAGTCTAACCAGTCGCTAAACTACTTTCCGTTTTCACGTTGTTGTTGCACTAAATGTAGCCCAAATAAAACCAACGCGTGTCAGTGCCAGCTGAATGAAAGCGAAGAAGAAGAAATTGCCAATACCAACGAATCGATTGCACACCCAATTTTACCACATTAGTGACGTCAACATTGACCAATTGGTGAATTTCATTTTAAAAATTACCCGCAATAGTATATTTCTACTGATGATCATCCACATGCACTATGCAACAATCTTATATGCATAACTGCTATGCTTTTAAGCCTTGTGCTTAAATAAAGATTCTGTAGTTGCTATATGGATTTAAGGTTTAGATTTATGACATTTTTTAAAAATAAGTTTTGTTCTAAAAGTGTTTATTTTTATATTTCTATGTCTGTGTATAATTCTGATAGTATATAAAAACAATACAATAAATATATACTTCCTTCAGACGTTTGTGTATAATAATCTGGATGGCTTGTAAAATTCAGTATAATATAAATTTTGTGGACGGTATTGGACGGAGAACACTCTTATTCGTAATGTTGATCTTTATGACTTAAAATTAAATTATTGTACATTTCGTGTATAGTATAATTCGCATTAGACACTTTAAAGGCGATTAAATTGTAATAAACAATGGATAATTCTTTCGAAATATCAAATGATTAAGAAAACATTAAGGCACTTGAGTCAGCTCAAAAGCTGCGAACAGAATAGAATTTGTAAAAAAAAATTTAATTGATGGATCAGATAAACAAATTATACTGCGAACTATATATATATACGCATAGATATGTATGTTTGTCATTTGTGTGAGATTCGTATTGGGCGTACGAAATGTTACTAGTCATTCTGGGCAATGTTTTACCCTATTTGGAATGTGAAAAGAAATTGAGATTTCAGGCTCATGTAATCAGAGTAATATTCTCAGAGCAAATGCGTTTGCCAGGAGCAAGAATATGGAAAACGTAATATGAGGGGCGGAGGCATAACAGTCCGTAATGCGACGCGCACGCATAAAATTGCTACCCAAATATGTATCGTAGCGGCGTTCGTTCTCCGGAATTACTTGCAATTGGCGCGTGGCGTCTTGGAAGATTAAATCATAGTGCCCGAATGGCGATGAGAACATGCTAAAACTGAAGGCATCCACATCCTTCCGGCCGTACAGCTGTTGAGCATAGGTTAGCAGGTTGATGTATGCGTGCAATTGTGTCTCATTGTAGTTGACACCGCCACGGGTGACGACAGCATTAGCTCTCACTTTGCCCAAATTGCAGCGTTTGTAATCTTGTAGCTCGGCGCGTGTGCCGTCCGTGCATAACAATTCAAAGTCATCGTTTAAAGCATTCCGTGCCCACCACTCCTTGCGCTTGCCACCCGTGCTTTCCATTACAGTGGTGTGTTTCATAAAAGCCACATGGCCGCCGCCCTCAACGAGGCAGCGGAACGCACCCGTGTGACCATAGTAGTCCTCCGAAGCATCACGGCGGCAGTATCTGAAGCTGGTTCCATGGCAAAGATCACACATGCTGTCGTACGGTACGCCAGTATTATATTCGCTGCTGATTGCGCCGGGCACGCATGATTTGGTAAAGTATTCTGCTGCGGCACGTATCGAGTCACATCCATAAGGTCGTATCCAACCATTCGATAGCAGGAATGCCATTGGATATGTCCAGCCTGCTGCAGTATTAATGCCAGTGTGACATGTGTTCTTCCCCTTCAGATACGTTAGCTCGGTGTCGGGATCTTCTTCCTTGGCAACAGCTACTACATAGTATTCCGGCTCACCCAAATTATAGACCTCAGACATGAATGGAATCAAATCATAATTCAATCCACCCGTGTATACATCGCCGGCATCAAAGACAGCCACATCAGCCTTTCCTGACTGTATAAGTTGCATACAATTTATATGCGAGTGCAGTTTTTTGCAAATAAGCTCTGGTTTTAAAATTTGTGCCTTGAGTGCCGTCTGCAAAAGGAATGTAAGTGAAATTACTGAGGAAATTAAATAAAGCAAAAAGAACTAACTCTCATTTTGATGCATTTTTCCAGCTCTGGCTCAGAGGTCACACACATCGTCATTGCTGGAACGGGACATTCGCGGATGCCGTATATATATGCAATCGATTTTTGCAAATATTTAGTAAAGGACTGATCGTCTTCCGATATGGAAATGAGATCTCTGGCTGCATCCTGGAAAAGCAGATTTGATTTTCCATATCTGCTCGATTCAAAAATACGGAATTTTTCGTAAGGTACAGATGTGTTGCCATCAAACGAATTGCGTTCAGTGGTAAAACTGCTGTCCAGTCGGTCATTGCGATAATTTGTGCCATCAAAGCGATCAAAGGGATTTTGATTTTGGTTCTGGTTTCTATTGTAGGTGTTGATATTGTCGTATTGACTGTTAAGATTGTCGTAAGGGTTGTTACGACCTTGGTCATTGTAGTTGTTGCGATCGTACGTGTTGAATCCTCCGGCAGTCTGTGGCTGATTGCCTTTTGATTCCTCACGGAGAGCGTCTGAATACAACTCAGCAATGCGTTTTAAAAACTGTTGGTATCGGAAGCGATCCCGAAAACTACGAGCTGAAGAAGTAACAATTGCATCCGAAGGCACTTGGCCCCAGCTACATTGGCGATAGTCAGAGATGGGCACACGGCTACCATCCCGGCAAAGCAGTTCAAAGGTATCCGGTGACAATTTTTCTAGAGTGCAAACATAATTTAAGTTTAGAAAATATTTACTAATAAAAGCCAAGCTACTCACTAAACTCTGTAGTTTGCAGCATTTCAGAAACAGTCGAATGCCGCAAGAAGGCAACCTCTCCCGCTTCAAGAAGGCACCTAAATGCACCATCGTATCCAAAATATGGATCAGATGCCGAGCAGCGTCCAGGTATTTTGCCAGTACATAAAGCACAAAGTCTGAAAAAGATATGCGTAAGTGCTATAAGATAATCGGTATTTAAATATTTGAATAAACCAACTTGTCAGAATTGTCTCCAATGGGATTGTACTTGTCAATCAGCGAGTGCACAGCGCAGGAGCTGTTGAAAAAGTTGGCAGCCGTCTTCACCTGGTTATTACAATCCACAACCTCCATATCGCCAAAGTGTTGCAGCTGAAAGCAAAACGAATTAAACCATATTAATATGTTAGTTTCTGAACAGATAATATGTTCCATTACCGTATATATTGGTACGATCCAACCTGCAAGACTTCCTACCCAGGGGAAGCAGACTTTCTTTTGACGCAGGTGTCGCAGCTCGGTCACATCGGGAAGTGTATTCTTCTTGATAACTGCCACTGAATGATAGTTCAAGAATCCGCCTTCCAATTTCTCCTGCATTATTGGGATCAGGGAGTTGTAACGACCAGCGGTAAAAACATCTCCGGCGTCCAACGATGTGATATGCGCCTTCTCGCGGTCCAGATGATGGATGCATTCATCTGCGCTGTATGCCATTAAGCAGGTGAGATTCATGAGTACATCGTCAAAGAGCGCTTTGTCCCGGACGATGGCCGCAGTCAAGTTTTCACATTTGTACTGTTCCTCCTGACCCTTTGTGCACCAAATCATGTTACTGGTTTTATGTTCATCGTAGTGATGTTGCGCTAAAATTAATAATAATTAATAAAATACACATACAAGTAGAGCAATCCAATGAATTTCTAATAAGCATAGCTTCAAATTAATTAATATATCCAAATACATATACATACATACATGTATGGGAAACATTAGAATTGCTTATAGCACTTGATTAATATACTAAGATGAAAGGCCACACAATTCTTGCAGCTTTATTTATAGGCTTTATTGTGGAGAACATATTATAAACATTTATCGATGAAATTTAAATGAAATAATAGCCAATTCATTTGCCCTTACAAATGTACACACATACATACACAACTATGCATTACATGCCTAGAGCAGCAACGCCCTATGTTTAGTCAGCGAGATGAGCAGGTGATATTGTACTTACCATGAATTACAATTAAACACAATGCGCTTATTAAACATAAAAACAAATAAATTGTATTCATTTTTACACACATAGAGCAGTCCACATTTAGTTTAAATATATATTAAATAAAAATAAACACAAGCGAAATAAACCTAACTACGACACGCCCGCAATGCACTATTATCGATAGTGCTCGTGCTGTGTTATCGAAAGCATACACGATGTTTTGTTGGGTGGCTACGATATTTTTGGCGGCGTTTGGCATTTTTTAGGCAATTTATATAAAGAGCAGGTGTTTTTGTTTTGTAATAGTAAATTGTAAAAACATTTAAGAATTAAACAAATTCTGTCTTGCAGAATAATGGCTGCCTTACGCGGGTGGAGATTTGTTGGCTTTGTATCATGCATAGTTGGAGCAATTGGAATAACTTTATATCCGGTTATTGTGGACCCCATGATAAATACTCAAAAATATAAATCGCTGCAAGAACACGCCAGACGGTCAACATAACTTAATATTGTTAAAACCGATTTGTATTAAATTACCTTATACTTTCATGCATATGTTAATTAATCCATACGTGCTGGGCATGCAATAAACACGAACAGCTGTTGCTAAACGCGGAGCATATTTTACATACTCATTTGTTATTTGGCCACAATGAAAGGTGCGTCCCTCGATTTTTGTAATTAAATATAAAATATTGTTTGAAATTCGTTTTTTTATTTAATGTTTTTATTGCGCTCAAATAGGGAACACACGAAGCGTTGACATTATTGCCGGCAATTAATTGTTATCAGTTCCAGCAAACAGCTGATTCCAGCGAACTTTTCACGCACATACATACGTGGTCAAATTTGTGCGACACAAGTGACTTTTCCTCTGTGTTTGATAACAGTCACAGGTTTTTAGAATGTCGACAGCCACTAAAAAACGGGAGGATATTTTGCTTCTCTTCGATGTGGATGGAACTTTGACATTACCACGTTCGGTGGTGCAGCCGGAATTCGAGGAGTTCTTTTACACAAAGGTGAAGCCAAGGGCGACAATTGGAATCGTCGGTGGATCTGATCTGGAGAAAATGTTCGAGCAGCTAAATGGCAAGAAGATACTAAAGGAATTCGACTTTATATTCCCTGAAAATGGCCTGGTACAAATAGAAGGTGGCAATGAAGTGGGCAAACAAAATATTATACAGCATTTGGGAGAATCAACTTTACAGAGATTTATCAACTATGTGCTTCGGTATTTATCTGAACTGGAACTGCCCATCAAACGAGGAACGTTTATTGAGTTCCGAAATGGAATGCTGAACGTCTGCCCGATCGGTCGTCAATGCACCCGGGAGGAGCGTAACATGTTTGCGGCCTACGATGACGAACACCAAATTAGAAAGAAAATGATTTCAAAGCTTAAAGAAGAGTTCGCAGACATCGATCTTACTTACAGTATTGGTGGTCAAATAAGCTTCGATGTGTTCCCGCACGGTTGGGACAAAACCTTCTGTCTGCGCCATATCGAAGCCCACCATAAATTCAAAGAGATCCATTTCTTTGGCGACAAAACAGAACCAGGTGGTAATGATTACGAGATCTATACGGATCCTCGCCTTCAAGGACATAAGGTCAATACACCAAACGATACCATGCGAATACTAAGCGAGCTGCTAAACATTTGATGACTAATGCATTTATTTAATTCCAAATCAAAACATTTCATTTTATGATGTATATTCTGTAAAAAATTAATCAATATATATGTTTCAATATGCAACGACCATATGAAAATATTTATATTTTGTTAAGGCCTCTCGATAAGAACTGGTTTTTATTTCGCATATGTGCCAACTGAATTTCTATTTCTATAGTCTGCGCAAAAACAAATCAATTTAAATCTGAGTATCGCTTGGAATACAAATGTTCTTAGGTCTAATAGTGCCTCACAAAGAATTATTGGTATGCTTTAAAAATGATACTCAATGATTAGGATTTTAACACATTATTGTTGATTGAATTTCCGTCATTGACAGACCAGTTTGAGTCGAAGCCACAAGCGGAATCAGAGTCCGAATCAACGTTGAGTGCTGAACCAATGCTCTTTGGAGCCCGTATTTGATTTGGGGTTGTGGGCATGCTGCTGTAACCGGTGTTAAGATTTGAGCTGGAATTGGATGAGCAGATGGAATCCCGCGGTGAGTCTGTGGCATTGGAGGCATACGACGAGCGTTTCGATGTTCTGTAGCGCTTTGAGACGTAATCAACCGATTTTGGTGGTGGCATCAAATTCTCGGAACGTTGTGTTATGTTGTCCGCTGAGCCCCACGACTTGTGAACAGCGTCATATATATTCCTGTTGGTTGGAACACTTGATCTGGAGCCCACTATATTACTCGACCCGTATGGTATTGTCACCGATGCTCTCTGATTCGGAGGTCGATCCCGTGTCGTACCATTGGCATGATGATGATGATGCTGATGAGGGTGACGGTGAGTTCGCTGGTGATGGCGACCTACTTCTATGGCTCCGCCAGGTCCATACGGCATCGGGACACTGCCATTGCCCACTCCCAAGAAGTTGCTGAACGCTTCGGTTGTTTTCTTTACTCGGACATTCAGTGAACCAATCCGCAGGAATCCCAAATCTTTTTCGACTGCAACAAAAAGTACAAACAACAAATTTGAGTAAATTTCCTTCAGTAATTAAAGAGGCACTTACTTGTATGCTTTTTTCGCGCTTTGATTTCTGCAAAGATTGGATAAAAAAAGAGATATTTAGTTATTTGTGTTAAATAAAGACTTCACATGCACATGCTGTTAAAATTAAAATGGAAATATGTCAACTAAATATTAGTTAGTAGTTTTTTTCAGAAGGACAAATGACTGTGCGATTAAGGAATTCGTTAAAAGAAAAACTTACCAAATAAATAAATAAGAATAACAGGCATCAAAATCAAATGCTTTTAAATAAAAAAATTCAAGGATACTACAAAAAGCGTTAGCGTGTTTTTTTTTCTTGTACAATGCTTTAAAATAATTGAAAAAATTATAATATATATACATAATAACGAGCGGAATTGATAAAACAAAGAAAGATTTTATTGAACATTAATTGATTGCAAACATTCAAATTCTTTAGTTAAGTCAACCTGCCTCCAGGTGCCGTTGAGTCCGCCGCTGTGCCGCATCGCTTGAATTTCTACACGTAGCAATGATGAAAATAAATAGGGGAGTTCCCCAGTTAAGATAGTTGAGAACTTAAATACGAAATACTTAATGCAGCGGCAGTCTTGCCATTAGTTCAACTGATATGGACGTGATTCAGTTAAGAAAAATCAGATAAACATGCAATTAAAAGGAATGTCTTGCGGAATTTAATGTCAATTAAATCAATTGCTTCTCATGTTTTTTTTTTTTTTGTTAACTTGCTGACATGCTGGGTTAATACCGTTTAAATAAATATTAAATTGATGTATTATAAAACATTAAGCACTGGACATGTATATTTTAAACTTTGTTTATTGCTAGAACTAGCAAAAGTGTTAATCAATTAATAAACTTCGGTGAAGCGAATTAAAATTTGTTAAGAAATTTGTAGCTTAGTAGGAACTGAACCTAGATTAGTAAAAATGTCGAAGCACATATAAGCAGTTATGCTCTAGTTTATCTAGTTGTACAGCATAACGAAATCAGTTCTATACAGGTACATATATATATGATATTTTTATATACATATATCAGCAGCTACCTTCTAGTTTGTGTACGATGGCTTCAACAACCCTAAATACATTTTTTTCGTATGTTTGTTTAAATAGCTACAATAAATTTGATTACAATGTATTTAACACGATGTTTAACTTTTTGACAGATTTCATTTAAGATCAGACTAATATAACATCTACTAAAAGCATTTGCCAAGTGTTTTAATGTTTTCTCTATATTTTTGTTGTTGTTATTTTAATAAAAGTTTCATTGATGCTAATAACAGTTTGTATAGTTAAAACATTAATAAATGTATATAACTAAATATTTAATTGATATTTAATATAAATTTCAGATAACCAATAAACATATTTTATGTTAGCTTAAAATAATATTTTTTTAAAAAGGTTTTTAGGTGCAATTCGGTTAATAGGTTGGAGGGGTTATGATACATTTTTTTCGTATAAAAAGGGTGTACAAAAAATAACTGGCTAAGTGTACAGCAATGATAATATAATTTGTTAATATTATGTGCTTAACAAGTGTTGTGTATAATATTCATTATGAAAGAATTGTTGTTAATAGTTCAAAAATTTCAACAATGCCAGAAAGAATTCAAACTCGTATACAGTTGTTTTTTGCTACCCTTTGTTTAGTTAGATAGTAAATACATAAGCTGGTTATTTGGCACATGCTTGGATTGTTTAGGTAGATTGGTTAGTAACAATATCTTTTGGGGGTCGGCTTGCACCGGCAGCGGACCGAAATGTTTTACGCAAAAAGCTCTCCTTGCGCCGAGTGGGGGCACTGCGCAACTTGCGCTCGTTGGATTCGCTCTCTAACATTTCCAATTTGTCCTCTTCGGGCTGATCCGTAGCCACATTAGCGTCCCGTTTGCTTCTCGGTGTTGGATCCGAGTCACTGTCCTCGTTTGACTCTTTGAATAACAGAGACTGCACAGATGGCTTTTTGTAGCGTCGATATGAGCCTGTTGCCATTAGAGATTGAGTGCGAGTCACAGTGCCCCCACCTGAGCCACTGCTAACGGTGGCGTAGCGCATTTGAGAGCGCTTTTTGCCGCGTGTCAGTGCGCTGCCTAGTGTGCCGCCCATGATCCCATTGCCACCGCTTGAGAGCGGGCTCTCAATGTTTTGGTATCCCAGATGGTAGTTGTTGTTTAGCTCCGTGCCGAGGAAATACTTTTGATACTCACTACTGCACGTTGAGGCCGAAACACTGGGCCGCTGGCGACTGTAGTCCAATGGCTTATTTCCACTCCAATCCATAATGTCCCGGTTGGCCTCTGAAAGAGTTGATTTCTTAATTTGGGATTGTCAAACATAATTAACCAATTTGCACATTAAGCTATAAACCTGATAAGTATTTTCATATATATCTTAACCATTCTGATGATATATCCAATATATTCAACATATTTTGTTTGTCATTCATGAATCAACATAATTAGAATACGTACTGTAAACATTCCATAGTAGTTCGTATATATTTTGCCTCCCGAATTGAGTAGCCAAATGAAGCGGTGTATATCCCTATAAAAAGAATGTGGATCGTAATTAATACCTTTAATTTGGGTAAGTTTTGAAATTGTTAATGCAAATATTTCAATTTATTGATCGTATTTTTTAAATTTAGCTTTAACATTATTTTTTGTCTGCTCTTTAAAACCGTACAAAATAATCGATGAATAAAGAATAAAATATGGTTTAAATTTGGGCTGCAAGACTTTGAACCTTTTGCAAAAATGCGTATCAAATCGGTTGGAAATTCATATCAAATTGAATGTAACACATTCGCCGCCGTGATTGACAATTCACTTTGTCTCTGTTTTGGAGAATGACAGTTGAAAAACATTTGAGAGAATTTAATTTGTTTGAAACAAGGCACGGTTCAATTTAAAATTGTGTAAACTCGCAAGCATAAAACCGTAGGAAAGGACTTGAGGCCTGGGCATGTTGTTGCCACAATTGGATTTGCTCGTCACGATTTGTCACAGCTTGGCTGTGCCCCAACCCATGGGAAGGGAAGGGTTAAAAAAGTGTTTGCCGTGTGACATGTGACGCCGATTTTCGCGTGATTGTGACAAGGCAATCAGTCCGATTTCGTATATTATTAAATGTATTTCAATATATGCAAGAAACAGAAAATACACTTACCCCATGCTAAAGCCCAATATGTCGACAGTTGGCAAATGGATATGGACATGAAATGGAAAAGAAAAATTTAAATATTTACAAATTCTAGATGATTTGTGCAAATCGTTACCGTCTTCGCATTGACATCCGCCTTATAGGTGCCGGCAATTAACTTGACCACATCCTCATTACCATGCTTGGCAGCCCAGTGTAAGGCGGTCTGGAAAGCACAAAAGCCTTTAATTAGTTAACTGACTAATCGATAGCTATACAATGGTTTATTTTATACGTATATATATGTATATACATTTATTCATAAGCTTTTGGCCCAGAGACAAGACTAACAAGCAGCAGGGCGTCGCTGTTGCAATCTGCAGCACTTCTGGAACTATTTGTTCGATCATCAATTGCTGTCGCTGGCCACCAAAAAAACAAAAAAAAAAAATGCAAAAAAAAAAAAATGAAGCTGGAGAAAAACAAGGATTCCAGGCTGAAGATTATACCGATATAAATAAATTGGCCAGCCACTGCCGAATGCCTCTTGCCTCAATTATTTTCATGTTAACATAATAATTTAGTAAGGCGCAACGATTCGGGCCGCTCAGATAAGGCTCTGAAGGCTCTGAACTGTAAGATCGCCGCGAGTGCACGATGATTTTCTATAGAATTGTTTGCCACAGCAATGCTACGTACCACAGCCATGTGTTGACAATGAAGACGGTCACTTTTTGAACAGCAACAGCGACAAACAAGTTGAGACAGAGACAGAGGCTGGGGCACATGGGGCACATGGGGCAGCAGCAGCGGGCAACAACGAAATCGGGGGCAGATACAAATAGAGTTTCAGCCAATTCCCGCTGCCGATCGGTATGTAATTCTTTTCAAGGGAAATTTGTTTTGTGTCTCCCAGTTAAAGACGCAGTCAGCCCCGGTACCAGGCCAAACGGACTGCCCAGCGAATGCTGAGATACATATGTAGCTACTATTGCTGTCGATGCATCTTAATCTGCACTGTTTGGCATTTAATCTCAACCATTGTCTTAGCATTTCGTGGAGAAATGTTCACGAACAGAAGCCACATACAACAACAGCTTCGACTATCTTATCAACAATGTGTGTGCCGATTTACGATATGTATTATTTAGTTAAAGTGTCGCTGATACACTTTTTGGTTGGCCTCTTTATTTACTAATAGTTTAAGGCTCTAGTAAATTTGGCTTGCACATGTTAACCCTATATTATTATATATGATTTTGTGTTAGTCGAGATAAACTTGGCTTGAAGACCAAATACTTTTAATAGTATTTAAACAAATGATAATCCATAATAGAATCAGGCCTCATTTTTGAGTCCAGTCCCAGCATGAGCTTGAAATGTGGACTTAAAATCAAACTAATCCTGCCAAAGAAATTTTTTAAAAAATTTTCCTTGGCACAAAGCCCGAAAACATAAAACAACCTTTATTTAAATTTGTTATTGTTTAATTTGGGGTTTTGTTAAAAGATATAAGCAATTATTTTATCGATAGTTCGAAAAATGCTGAGAATAGCTGTAAAATTCCCAAATTTCCTATAGATAGCTATTATTCTGACTTGGGAGTTGGTCCGCAAGAATCTCAACCTTAAGGTCTGATTATTCCAAGTCTGTGGCCTATGAGCCCATCTTTGGTACGGACTACGGAGTAGATCGAGTTCTCTGTTGATCTCAACATGATTGCGTTTACTTTGAGTCATTTAAGATATCTGCTTTTAGTTTTCAGCAAGTAATTAGCTAAATTTAAACTAGCTACAATTGCAAAGCTTCTGCATATCATACATTTCCTATTTCAATGGGTATATGTTACCGAGCGAGAGGCCTTGAAAGTAAACCTGAAATCAGAGTATTCATTGTTGGGTAAATTTAATTAATGATGCTTGTTTGTTTCATCAATACACATGTCCTACTGTCATTAGATCAATGGTTAAGTGGCTAAGAGACGTTAAGATTAAAGCTATTCGACAAGGAGTTTGTGGCTCTAAGCGCAGGCTTTTGATTCAGATGTTTAGGAGAGGAAGAATCTCAAAGAACCTACAATCGATGCTGTGATTAATAGGCAGCCGATAATTATTCAAATGAGGTGTGAAGTCATGAGGCTGATTATCGCTTTGTCATATGACAGAATGCAAACATCGGCTTCGGATTTACAAATCGTCTCACGCGCAAAGCAAGAAGAGAAGCGATTTTGGCCATTTCGTGAATGTCGCTTCCACACAGGCCCGGCTCTCGGCTCTCGGCTCAGGTTGGCTACAGCCTCTTTACATATGGCATGTTGTCCGTCTGCACGTTTAAATTTATTGTCCATTCCATTAATGGTGGCAAGGGACAGAAATTCTGCGTCTCTGACAGTGAAATGCCATAAATTCTTGCGTCTCGTTCAGTTTGTGGCATTGTATTTGCCTTCGAGAAACAAACAGAGCGATTTGCTCTCTAGGGCAGGCTACCAAGTCGTGGAGGCATCCGACAGTGTTGGCGATCGCTGAAGGGAATCCAGCTGCTGCTGCTGCTGCTGCTGCTGCAAACGCATTGTGAAGGAATGCCAGGAGTATGGAGTATGGTGTACCAACTACCATGTCCAGGTCGTGAGACAACCAGTTGCAGCGCCCATGGTCCTTCTTATACTGCCTCACGATCATAAAAGGATGGTCAAAATATTTGTCACTCGTTTCGTCCCAAAGTGCAAAGCAGTAGTGAAGGTGTCACAGCTGGAATCCGATATGGTAAAAATGCGATGGTATGTGCTCATCTGGATCATGACAATAGATGATTGAAAACCAAGATAACAATTTGCGATGATTATCTGCAACTCACAAAGCAGCCAAAAAACACTTGCCCCAACTTCCATTCTATACAAACTGTGAACAAATTTCAACACTATTTTCATACTCTATTTTAAAAGTTTTGTAACTAATAATAACTAAATGTATAATAGCTACTTTATAAATACAATTTATAAGAAAAGCCCACAGGTGATATGCTCGCTTTGATCCTTATAGTAAGCACTGTATATTTTTTGTTTAATATTTGGGAAAACAATTTTTGATTTATATGTTTTAAAAGCGGAAGTTTTCTAACCTAAAAATATCGCCGTATACAAGTTTGTACAAAATGTGACCAAATTTCAGTAATGCTCTATAAATTGGAAATTTACGCAGCTTGAATTTTGTATCTATTAAGTTACATAATAGTAACTATACACCCTTCCCTTAGTCATTCGCTTGATAGAGATCTGAAGGCACTGATCGATTCCAGCGCAAAATAAAACAGATATTATAAGCCAGAAAGTTTGTAAGTACAAAGGAAAATACAAGTGATAAGCATTAATCCTCATTGCAATCATCGGATCATATTGGTTGAATATTCGGACAACTCTCTTACTCTCATATAAAAATATATTGTTAATAGAGCTATAAATATAAGAAGAATTAAATTATCCACAACTAATAGCTTAGTATTTTACAGACATGCGGCTTGGAAAGTATTGAGAAAAATCCCTACAGCCATTTTTAAACCCTGGCCGAGGTAATTGTGTATTACAATAATTACAATAATATTTTTGTTTTGAAATTGATTTTTGGCATACTTACATACTGCGAAGAGCACGTGTGAAGTTTTCCGGAATAGGTACATGAAAAAGGAAAAGAAAAAATATAAATGAATTTATCAAAATTAACTAGATATAAATTGTAAAATTAATTTCTCGCGCAAACACAAACTGACAAACAGCAAATAGTTAACAAGATTATGCAACTAGTTGAGCTTTAGCTGTTATTAACTGCTAAATATAGCTCTCAAGTTGAGCTGCCATTTCGCCTTAACAATTTAATAACACATTGTCAAGTCTCAACGGCAATTACTGGCAGATGCACATGAGCCCAAACCTGATGCCCGTTCAGTCCAAGTTCAGTCCTGTTCAGTGAGTGTCCTCGTAGGATACTGGTCAGTGCGCAAAAATTATGTTCCCCTAATGGTGCCAACTATGATAATGAGGGTCATGTGAGCTGGAATGTGGGCTGGCAACAGTGGCTGCCGTTCATATCGTTACGTTCGGTTTTGCGCCAAAAAGTCGAGCGCGCCTGCGAGTGCCGTTTGCTTCGACAAGAAGAAGTCGCTCGAAGGCGTTTTGATCGAAATTCGATATTACGTTGATAAGACACGAGCTGCCACGCAGACCTGTAGACCTGTAGACGTGGTCGACCTGTAGTTGGCCTCCTGGCGGACTTGGAACTGGAATCTTTTGGCACATTGAGCGTTGCTATCCAGAAGCTGTCGTTTTGATCGATCGCCGGCACATAAAAAATGTCATGTTTAACATGTATTTTGCTGGTTGTAATTAAGGCTGTCGGCCCGGGTCGCTTACATTTCAGATCCGAGCTGCAGATCGTCAAAGTGAGCGAAGTGAACTTTTAAAGACATTTAAGTGGGTGTCAATTGTTTGAGAAATTCATTTATCACAACACGCTTGCACGAGTCCACTCGACAATTTCATGCCCCGGTTCGCTTTTCTAACTATTCATTAAGGTTTCAAGGACAGCAGCTAGCCAAAAAACAAACATGTACTTGCGGTAATGAGAATTTAATTGTGTTTGTTTGTTTGTTTGTTTTACCCAAAATGCCAGCATTCAAAAATTTACAATACTTACACCCTGATATTACAGTTGAGCAATTTATGTTGCCATACATCAAACGGGTGGTTCATAAAAAGAAAAAAGTACATGATTAATTTAATCTTAATTGTAAGAGATTATTATCGCTTATTCAGAAAAACATAACATTTACCAGATAAAATAACAAAACAGAAATACAATGTTTGGTTTATAATATTAGCTAGCTGGCAGTTAGATAAGTATCTAAAAGCTATCTATAATGGCGATATAATATGAGGTATAATAAAGTTGTGCAAACATAAATCTTTTCAAATCGGAACTTCCTGAATTTGCCAATTCAGGTTTCTTCAATTGGAAACTGTCCTAAAATCTGCACTTAATTCATGCTAAAAGTTTTGCTGATTAACTTCAGCGTGAATAGTCCGATATTAATGAGAATTTCAGGACATAAAGAAAGTATCCAAATGTGCGTAAATACCAAAGCCAAAGCCTTTTGTTTACAGCTAACCAAATAGTGGATGCTGGATTCTTCAATATAGAAATTCCAACGTTTCTGTGACATTTTTGTTTGGCAAATATTCTTAAATCTTCACTTTATCCAGCAGCTGTGCTTTTTCTTTCCTTACTACCACGCTATATAAAATGTTTGCTTGGTTAACTTCGGTGTTTAGAGTCCGATCCAGATAGCCAAAAAGTAAAATATTCTGGATGCTTTGTTTTCAAACATTTGTGAGCATTTTTTTTATAAAGAAAGTTTACCTATTTATTAATTATATTTTTTCCCAAATTACCCAAAAAAAAAGTAATTTCTCAAGAGTTAAGTGTACGCACGCAATATCAATATCGAGTAAATCAAGAATATTGCCCACAACATTTGAATACCTGTAGTAGACGAAAGGTGTGCTAGTTCTCAGGGTAATGAAAACAAGCGCACCAAACACGAATGTGAAACCGATGCAATTATTTTCTCTTTATGCCTAAGTTCAAGTATCTAAAGTGCAGATTAACTAAATTGATTAGAAATTATGCTTCCGCAGACCTAATCAAAAAAAAAAAAAGAAATAAATGGGAAAAAAACACCGGCTAATTTCCAGAGCAGCATGTTAACTTGGCAATGCGTACGCACCCCATGCTACATGGAATCGAAACCGAACAACAATAATAATCGGACAGCTTGATAAAACGAAAAAAAAAAACAAGAACAAGAGTAAAAACAATAATAATGACAGCAAAAGTCCTCGCTACGTGGCTATCTTTGGCAAACAATCTAAATGATATATTAAGCGCAAAGCAAATAACGCTCTTTTTGTCGCCACCATGCTCCTTGCCCATTTCCCTTGCGAGTTAAGTTCTCCAATTATGCGGATTATTAATTTAACTGGGTCGCTGGTTAGAGTCCCTCCCTTCCTCCATTTATTTCTGGCCAAGTGTGCGCTTGCTCGCATGTCTTTCGATATTGTTGTTGTTGTTGCTGCCCGTCCACTGGCAGCGACCACTTGTCGTTTCACAAGTTGTCAAAACTTGTCATTTAACCGACAATGAGCCTTGTTTGCTTTAATCGTGGTTATTATGCGTTCGCCCGAATAAGTCTGCCGACCGCTCCCGACCACAGCTCGCCACAGCTCTGGCTCTGAATTATTAATGATGGCCAGAGTTTAGGCAGGTGCTCGTGCTTCATGGGGAGTGGCCTCTAATTAGTCGCAGTCGCAGTCGCTCTTCGCAGTCTGTATCGGATGATCATTGCTCTGATATAATCCAACTGCAATCATGATTTATAGAATTCTTCACTTTCTTTTACGCGTTAATCAGCCCGTGGTCCAATTAGTTCTCACCCGTAAGTTGGGCAACTTGTAGCCGGCTATATGTTGTGATAAATGCTGCTGCTGGCCGCATGCTTCCTGCTGATCTGCATTATGCGATCCATTCTTTAATTGGTTTCACAACGGCTCACAGTGGCTCATTTGTCAATGGGGCAATCGATAAACTCGCGGACAGGTGGAATCCTTTAACAGTGGCTGCACTTTTTGCAACCCACGTCGCCTCGGCTCCTGCCGCTGATGAGGGTTGTTTTCTGTCATAGCGGTGTCGCCTTCGGGGCTGACGAACGCCGATCCGTAGTTTAGCAACAGGTGATCGCTGATCGAGGTGACGTGTTTTTGTTTTGTTATTAAGTTGTTAAGCTAAATTATTGTATTTTACTTATTTTTGTTTTTTTCTTCTCTTTCTTTGCAAGCCGTCGGCGACATTTAACAGTTCATGCATTTATATGAGCTGTCGCAAAACTTATTATGACCATTAAAACTGTATACATATATTGCATTAAGTTTTTCATGGATTTTTCTAAAAAAGTTTAATTAACAAGGTCAGATTGAAGATAAACATCATGTAAAAAATATACCCAAAAATGCATATGCCCCATATTAGGTTTCCTGTATTATTAGATATATATATAGATATAGATATATATGCATTGGTCACCAATCGGTCAGTCAGTCAAGACAAACAGTTTTAGATATAGAGATGATCTTTTCACGAGAAATAGCTACAACTCGTTAACTTTGTTATTTGCAATCTTTCAGCTGTTCAATGAAGCTACCTTAAAAGCTAGATTTTGGTGCCTTGGATTTTATACCCTTGCAGAGGGTTTTATAATTTTTATCATGAAATGTTTAACAACAGACGAGTTGATGTCCGCCTGATCGTCTGTCTGTTTCTATGCGTACTCCCTGCTCAGTTTTGAAGCTATCGTCTTGAAACTTTTCTTAGGTCGGAACCGGCCGGATCGGATCACTATATCAAATAGCTAAAATAAAAACGATCGGTCGAAAAGTGGGTTCTATTATGGAAAACTTAATTTTATTAATATAACTTGACCAAACTCAGGATATGTTGGTTCCACCATGATTCTTGTATATATGCAAAATCTTATCAACATCGGATAACTATATAGCTATATATATACTATAGGTTTCATAGGAACAATATACTGAAAATAAAATAAAAAACATATATGTATAGCAATTATTGTAAAAATGTTTACATTGTTTTACATTTTTTTTATTAATACATTCAGATGCTGTTATCCCAATAAAAATCCACAACAGACGGGTACAAAAATATTAGAATCCACGCATATCAAACAAATTCAAATGTTATAAAAGTAAGAGGTTGTATTCGGGAGCTCCCGACTAGGGAATACCCTGAACTCTCTTCAACCAACACCAAATGCAGCTCGCGCTGCGCACTCGTTTGCTTCTGCAGTAATACAAATAAATTTAAAAAGAAAGTGTTTCCTAATGTTAACACTACTAGCTAAGCATCAAATACTGCAGAGCCTACTTGAATTCTTGAGAATCGACGAATAGAGCACTTGGTAGAAATTTGTTGTATTTCAATTTGCAGCACAGCGACATATATGCTTGATCTTTGGTATTAGAAAAAAAACATGCATGCATACATAGATACATAATTGCATACATACATGCATGCACTGACACACACACGCCCACACACACACACACACACACACACATAGATAAGCACACACACACATATATAACAACATACATACATACATTCATTCATACATAATTCACAGAACGATAATCCTTAGCTTAAAAACAATTTATGAAACTAAAACAATTTGCCAATCGAAGTGTGCCAAACCTTTCTAAATCTTGAGCCTAGTTTGATTTGGCCCACAGATATTTGCACAACTTTATTATACCTCTTAGTTAATGGATTTATGTGCAAAAACTATAATCTATTTAGGTAAAAAAAAATAATATTTTAGGTAGTGAAATCGTAAAGTTTATAGCCTACCGTTGCTGGGCACTGAAAAAAATAAAATAAAAAAATATGGTTAATAAAATATAAAATCAGAGATAGATAAGTTCTTACTAGCTACATATATGAAATAAATTTTAAATATGTATAAGGACGAGCTACCGATTGTTCTATGTATTGTCTTGGATAAAATATTCCCATTGTATATACACTCCACTTAATCAAAAAACATCTGTAAGCCCTACTTAAGATTATGAAAATCGCATAGAAGGGCGATCCCAGTTTTAATTGGAAGGAGGCGATTCAGCTTAAAATTGTCGACAAGGCCAGGATAAATAAGAATAGCTTTCAGCATCTCTTGAATCGTTTTTGTTAACAGTTTAGTAATGCTACGATCGTATGAGAAGGAGAATCGAGAAAATATTTGACGTATGAAATAAATGAATGAAATCGGGATTCATTTGGAATCGATTGCTGATTTAATTGTCTGACTAATTGAGAGATTTTTTTGCACTGCCATCTGTGAACTCCCATGACGCACATTCGGCCTAGTTGCAGCGTTATTTGCTCCATTTGGCACTCGGCGAGCTTAATGACTTGATTTGGGAGGCTGATGAGGTGCGGGTCCAGTTGGTAGATTGTTGTCCGTTGATTAGTTCACATTGGAAGGCAGTCACAGCCAAAGCCAGAGCCACCGGCACAGATACGGTCAGAGAGAAGAAGCTCTGTACGTGCAGAACCGCCAGAGCTGCGGCTGAGCGACGACAATGACTTGCCATATATGCACTAGCTGGGCGGCTGGTCACAAAAACCTTAAATTTCATGCAGAATTAATTAACTGCTGTGGTGGCAGAAGCGACTGCGACTGCAACAGCGACAGCGACTGCGACTGCGGCCAGTGCGCCCTGTTCGTGTTGTCGCCGCCGCGGTAGCTGCCCAAAGCCGCCCAAGTTGCGGGCGCCCTTGTGCCCGGGTATCGGTTTTTCAGACGCTGATATTTGATGGCTGGCCAGACAACGCGGGAACACACAGAAGCGTTCGGGATCGCTCTGGAATTTCATTGAGAAACGTGCCCTGTACTTGCCGAGACAGCGGCGCAGGTCGTGTCCCCAACGCTCTGTCATGAATTGCACATGCACGGAGGGGGAATGTGTGTGTGTGTGTGTGTGTGGCGGGGGCTCGTTGTTTGTCTTGGGGATCTATGTTGTGGCGCCATTAGCTGCCATTGGCTGGCCCGTGTCGCGATTTAATTACAAGCATCGCTATCAGAGGAGGCGGCAGTAAGATTTATGCAAACAGTATACAACATGCATAGACGTTCTCCTCCAACTGGTGGACAGATGCACGGCTCCTTCAAATGATATCACGATGGCCCTTGACTTGCCTGTCATCGTTGCGAGTCGCCGCTTTATTTGGCTCTCTTGTTGTTTTATCTTTTTAGAGGGTCTTATAAGTTTGTCATTTAGTGTGTAACGCATAAAAGAGGGAACTCTGGTCCTATAAAGCATGTACATATATAGTCGTGATTGATATTAAAAGCCAGATTGATATGCCGATGTCCATCTATCTCTTTCTATTGCATGCAGAATATGTATGTTGGAATCTGCCGGATCGGACCACTAAGTCATATAGTCATATAATATAAAAATATAAGTTATTATCAGGAAAACTTTTTGGGTTTTCAACCTATCTTCATCAAACTCAGCCATAGCAAGCTTCTCATTTCTCCACGCATATCTTTAAAACCGTAAGCTCTGTGTCTACGAGAGTGTTTGATCTTCGGTGTGCCGAGTATAGCCGTTTTTTCTTGCTTTTATTCCTTCTTAGTATGATGCACAACTCAATTTGCTGCTGCTGCTGCTGCATTTAACCCACTCATAAGTAATTGAATGGGTATGTGTGCGAATGAATACTATCTGTGCAGGCGGCAGTACGGGGTAGCCTCCCATTAAGGGAGAGCACAAAGGCTTCAGCTTCTTGAAAATCGAATCACGTTCGCCCAATTTTGAGTGGACGTTCAGTCCAGGGTAGCTCTTTGGCTTCGACAATTTTAGCTCCCTTGTAGGCGATTAACTTAAATGCCACTAAACTAATTTAAAAGCGATTGTAAAAGCTCTCTCTCTCTCTCTCACTCTCCGGCTCTCTGGGCGATAGAATTTCTGGGCCTGGCTGTTAAACATCTTGTCCTGTCCAGTGAAAAAACAGTGTGCCGTACCCATTGTCACGTACTGCGTAGAATGTGGCCATCAGTGGAGATCTCTGTGTGTAAAATAAATACATAAATACATATGTGTGGCTCTGGGCAAGATTGCTTTTCCATATGGAATTTAATTTGCGCTGCCCCTGAAACATGTAATAACGATGCAATTTCATTTGCAATTTAGCAACGAACGTTTTAGAACCAAACAGTTGACCACTGTGCTGCAACATCGCTGTGGCATGCCACAGAATGCCAGTAGTGCATGTGCACTATCTCGACATGTTCCACACTTGATAATGCAACGGTTTGGGCTCTGGAGGCTGTGCCGCACAGCAAATGGTTGCGATGACAAAGAATTTCTCGTTATGCAAAATACCTGCGAATATTGCACAGTTAAGTTTACGATTTGATATATAGCTCTTGCGCTGGAATTTGTTGTTGCTACTATACCCTGTGTGCATTTAAAATCGGGTGTATGTGCTTGTCTGCCTGCATAAGCTCTACGCTGCGGCTATAAATCCTCTTCCCTCAGCCCCACACTATGGGAAATGTATGCTTGATTAACTTCTCTGTTTACAGTTTTCAAAGCTTGTATATAGAATTCAAGACTGTTTATATACTCTCTCTACTTCTCACTGTTAGAGGGAATGGGCGAGGTCTCAAAATATTGTAATGTTCCTAGTCTTTGTATACCATCCGAAAACCTATACACCAAGTTGGGTGTATTTATATTTATTAATTTTCGAGCTGTGCCTCAATATATATTGGTATTATGAAAATGAGAAGAGATAAGGAAAAAGGGATAAGGTCGTTTTGTGTATGGTATACGAAAATATTTATATATATTTGCAAGTTGTTAGCTATCAGTTTGTAATGCAGGGTATCTAGCAGTCGATTACTCTTGATTTGTACTATCTTACTGGCTTCTTATGGCATTGTTATATTGCTAACTGCCACGTTGACTGCGACTGGCGCTTAGAAAACATAACACGGCGTTGGCGTTGGCGGTGGCGGTGGCAACCTGTTGCGCCTATAGATGCCCCGCGGTCAGGGGCATCGTAAAATCTTACGAGCTGAATAACAAATACACGTATGGGATGATTAATTTAAGCACTTTTACGAGGTCTCTTCATGGCGCTGCTGATTTATTGCCGGGGCCGTGCGACGAATTTGCGTCAGGGAAAGCGCCGCAAGAGGTCCCTCGGTTAGCCATGCGCAGGGTTTATGATTGGGTTTAAGGGGCGATAAATGGAATTAGGGGCTTAGAATAACAGGCTCCGCGGTAGGGGGTGCAGTCTTGGCAGCCGGCACTTGCTGGCATAACGCTTGTAGGCGTTGCATTGCAGTCGGTCAGCTAGAGATGTCTTCTAACTCGGCGGTGTATTGCCATTGCAAGTACAAACGGGGAGGCGTGAAGAAGAAGAATGGTGGGGGTGGGGGAGGGGGAGGGTGTGGGGTAGGGAGCACAAGTTGGCGGCTGTCGGCTGGCGCATGTTGCCATCAGACGCATTTACTATTTTGCATAAATCATAATGTAATCTGCATCTGGAAATGAAAACAAACCGAAGCTGAAAATGTCCAAGCTTTTATAATTAACTGCGCGGGCACAAACTGAAGACATTGGCAGGCGACATGCCGGGCACAGCTGCAGGACCTCTCTGCATTGGCCACAACCAGCATCCAGCAACAACCAACAGCAACAACAAACAACAACAACAACAACAACCAACAGCGACAACCGCATAAGTTTCTCAATGAAGCATGGAGCCTAAACATCAAAAGCAACAAATACAAATCCAGCAACAGCAACAACAACAACAACAACAGCTGCAACATGCGGCAACAGCAGCAGTTGCAGCCGGAGCAGCATCAACGAGAGCTGTGCCTGCGCGGTCAGAGATTCGTTCGAGAGGACGACGCCGGCTCACAGTGTGTGGATAAGCCCTCAGTTCGTGCGCAATCGCAAAATCTACGCAGCGCGCGGTCAACGGGCGCCTGCCAAAACTACGGCAAATAATTTATGCCCCCAGTCAGCGATGCGAGAAGCGCAGCAAAACACATTGGCGCAACATGCTCCTTTGGAGCGAAGCAGCGGGTTGGTTTGCCTGCTTGTTGGTCGCAGTAAAAATCAAACAAAATTATAAATTAATGAAATTTATGCACAATAAAATTGCAAAAGAAATTATTAATGCAGTCGTTCACGCTTTAAATGCACCCTAAATCAAGCAACGTTCGCGAAAAATTATTAATACGGCCGCCAGACATGCAGGCCTCCCTCTCCTTCTGCCAATCAATGGCAGCACCGGGCGCTAGCCAGGCACATGATAGGCTTAGGCGCCGGATATGTTAAGTTGCAAGACATGCGTCTTGCAACATTAAAGCCACAACTTGCGATCTCCTTAACTCCATGATATTTCCACCTTCAATTTTTGTTTTCCTTTTCAATGCGTTCTTCTTCACTCTTCATTGATGCCGGCCCCGACGTAGCTAAAGATCAGGACGATTGGCCGAAAACTGAATTTATGTGACCATCATTTCTGTTCGTTTTAAGGAATTTTATTTTTAAACATAATACAGTCTGGCGGGCAAGGCTAAATTGCTGATATTGCTGTTGGCATGCTAGTCAGGGATCTACCTATCTATTCTTTATATATTTCCCCATTACGATAATGAAAAGCATGTCCTAATACTCCTTGACACCTTGCTAACATAGTCGTTAACCATTTCCACGTTATTTTTGCACAAATTAAGCTAGTTACATGACAGTTTTAATGACCTGTCATGTCAGACGCCTTGCAGCAAATTCTGCATGGCAAACTGCGCCTTAAAGTTCTCTAAGCATGACGCC